ATGAAAACTGCTCACACACTCATGCTTAATACACATTTGTCAAATCAGTGTGCAGCAGGCTTTGGCTCTCTCTTACATTTTACCCTGTCCTCTTTGCACATGCACACAAACAAGCATCACCCACACATCCACAGCGGCCTTTTCCAAGGAGCCAGCATTCAGTTTACCATTCCACTGGCCAAAAGTGCTTTTTTAAATGGTTTAATATATTTTTTTTTCCATACTCCTTTTCTTTTTTCCATACTTATCCAGACCTGGAAATGATTAAAATCAAATTCCATACTTTTCCACACCGGTAAGAAGCCTGATTTCTCCTCTTACCTTGTTCATTTTCTGACTCGGGGAAGCCAAAAAGCTGGACGGGTATCCTCAATTTCAAGTCTTCACCTGCTGCCGCCATGTCTTTGCGTCTTCATACAGCTATTGGCTTGAGTGACGTAGGATGTCGAACAAGTCAGAAGTAGATAGTGCCCCCTGCCGTTTAAAAAGATACATTTTCTCACGATTTGAATATTCACATATGGCGATTTAACTATGTTGCAATTTGTTTTTACGTTTTTAGTGCAAATACATACAAAGTTAATCACAGGACAATATGAAAATTTCGAAATAATTGCGATAATCACCAATATATCACCAAATAGGACACCTCAGATAGGAACCTCACCTCCCTGTTGTTCTTTAGTTTGGATTCCATAGTATTTCCACTCATCTGGTTTCATTATTTTTAAGGGATACAATGAGCAAGCCGAGCCTAGAGCCATGGTGATTTTAGAATGACTGGAAAGATTTGGGTTTCCCCTTGTTCAAAGCAAATCAGGAAATCAAGACAGCTTTTTCAAGTCACTTGTGAGGATATTCACGATTGTCCCGGTAAAAGAAATTCACCACGATATACCAACACGATAGTGTTTTTTATTGCGATAAAATTGTATATTAGCCCATCCCTGATACAAAGTCTATATAAAGAAAGACACACATGGATGCGAAGGTGTGTAAAATGGTTACAACTTTAGAGTTAAAATTTACTTCATGTTCAGTTTGAACTAGCTTTTGGGTGTAAGATTGTCATGATTGTGAGGTAGCTACTGGGGTTAGAGGGGTGTGAGTGAGATAAGCCTTCTATTTGAATTTCATACTTTACCAAATTTAATGAAAAGCAAAGTCTGTCTAGGAAAATGCATTTAATATTCTCACAAACTTGAATTAAAGTGAATTAGTGATGAGTCACCCTCATGCACAAATCATACATCAACAGTAGCCTAAGTTTAGGCATAATCCATGATGATGACGATATAGAAAAATTTATATGTTTTAAGATCCAACATATTATTGTATATAATATATCTGTCTGTATTTCTGTGTGTGGCTTTAGTTTGAAACAGCAGACAAACAAAACCATTCCATCTCACTCTTCAGACACATATATTCACATTCAGTCCCACAGATCCATCATTTCCTGCAGTTTCCTCGCCTCGCCGCATACTTTCACAACGCCATCTAGTTATTTTAGTATCACCCCTTTAACTCAAACTACAGCCCTCTTGCTCTAACACAAACATTCTTCAGCTTCCACAAACCTTCAGATAATCTGTCTGACTTTACAGCTGAGCATATATATCACGCACCGCAGTCATTTGACATATCTAAGCTTAATTGTGCATCCAGCGTGTGTGTTCAAATGTGTATTTGCACTGTAAGTGTTTGTGCATGACATGTCAGCCATCTCAAAACCAAATCTGCTATTTCCACCATTTCCGCAAAGAAAAACAGATTGGGAGAAAACCTCAAAAATGCCGTCAGTCTCAACACCATCATTTAAAAGAAATCTGATCTGGGGGAATGTGAGTGAGCGACAAAGCATGAGAGATTGTTCTGGAATATAAATACCCTGACCCCGTCTCCCTCTCAGCCTCAGACCACAGCACCCATGGCAAACACACTTCAACACACTAACTGCTACTTGCAGGAGAGCATGTATGCCCACGTTGCACTCGTGGGGTTCACATGAGGTTCGATGTGAGCAATGGACCAAAAGGGAGCTGGGAGCAAAAGGCTCTTGATGTTTTTAGTCTCACTAAAACAGAGTAAATTTAGCCCTGTGCCGGTGCGTAAACTGGAACATAACAGAGCTGCTGTCATGTGGAGATGCAAAAGATACAGGAACATCACCTGATTTGTTTCTTTAATACAAAGTTTAGGACACACGATGTTTGAGAATACAGTGTCTAAAATCACAAACTGAAGGTGGGTCAACAGGACTATTACCTATTACCTACTATTACCATGAGGCCCAAAAAGCAGTTATGAATTGGTGTAGTGGGAAATTTTATGCTTAATTACTAGTCTTTGACTAAACGGATGCTGGTGACAAAAACATCACAGCTACAATTTTGGGAACTTTCAGATTGCCCATTGATTACATGTGTTAGAAATGTCTTTAGCGCTAGGTATAGGTTCAATACCAATACCAAAACTGTGGGGGGGTTTTAAATGTGTTACTTTAAATTTGTTTCTACAAACCCAAAGTTGTCAAATGTAAATTTTTCTGTAAACACAAGCAGCTATACAAAAACTGCAAATCTAAAATAAACTTAATTCTGATTCAAATTAGGAACAATTTAAGTGTCCTCACCAAAAAAAAAGGTATCCCTTGGGGCACCATGGTAGCTCACCTGGTAGAGCTGGCGCCCCATATACCAAGAGTCCTTGCTGCAGCGGCCATGGGTTCAAATCTATGTGGCCCTAGAAATCTAGGTTTACAGATTAGCTATTAGCTGACCTACCTCAAAAAAAACTCCCTGGTCATGTTAAAATTGTCCTATAAAGTCTAAGCTGATTTAGATAAACGATAAAAGCAAATGGATGTGATAGAATGACTAAACTGTAATGACTGTACACAGAATTGCGTTTGACTTAGATTCTAATCTAATGTTTACAATACAAAGTTTTACTTACCTGGGAGCTATGGCATCAAATTGTCTCTGCTCACTGTTGACCCTTTCTTTTTGCTCTGTGCTCCAATGACAGTTGAGCCATAGATATAGAAACGTAGATACTGCGTACTCGCTACTACCAAATCAACTGTAACTCACTTAATTCTAAACCGATTTTCATGAGATTTGGTTTGTTATAAACGTGATAAATTGAACCTGATACTGGTTACTTGTAGGAATGAATTCAGTTACTGGGGGTGGGTCTAATCCGCTTCATGCCAATTCACCTCTATTGAATTGTGTTTTCCTGTAGACAAATTTCGCATTTCACAAAAACAAGCAACAAGGTGGCTTTATAACAATATAATAGTTAGTCAGTAGTTATATACAATATAATAGTTAGTCAACAGTTAGAAATTCAGTAACTGAATTAATCCTATAAGTAACCAGTATCAGGTTCGGTTTCTCAAGATAACAGCAATGTTTATTACAGAGAGTTTTGTAATGAAGTCTGCATCTCTAAGTTTTATTAACTAGCAGATCTTGACCTCCCGCTATGGCGACAGCAGCAGCAGCAAAACCTGGCAACTACATTACCAGCAATGCATCCCAACTGTCGACAGTTGGGTTAGAGATTCAGGTGTGTAATGCCAGTAATGCTAATGTAGCCTTAAGCCACAAGCAACGACATAATTATTTGATTGATAACTGTAATATTACTGAATTTAGGAACAATAAAGCATTATATTAGTGTGTTACAGACAAATGTAATTACACTCCAAAAAAATCTAAAATTGCAGGACCATTTGCTGTAAAAGTGGCTCCAAAAGCTCAGACAGAAGACAACTGGATTGATAATCCTGTGTTGAACCAGCACATCATAGAAACCTAATACTTAGATGTGCCATTGGCGTAACTTGGCATTCACTTTAGCAATGATACACGACTAACATGTTCTCCACATCTTGCAGCAAGGCGTCCATGCACCACTCCAATGCTGCAGTAATCCTGGCCTCAATTACACAATTTGAACTGCATGTATTCTCATGTATAAATCATAAACCGTGTTTTAAGAGTAACTACACCCATGCTAATCCAGGGGTTGTTGCAAGCTCTGTCCGCACCCTTTGAGGTCGGTACAGCAGTGCCTTTCCTCCGTGCAAGATTTAATGTGCAGCTGCTCTCCAAACGTTCAACTTGGCAGCCTTAAGTCAGATCCAGGATTGGCTCAATTTAGGAGCTAAAGTTCAGGATGGAATCAATGTCCTGTATTGTGAGGAAGTAGTACTCATCCATCCTTTTTCCTAAATACATTTGCTGCTTAAACCATGGGGAGAGTTTGAGATTCCTCACACGTACGACCAGCAGATCTATGAATCTCCCAGCAGGCTGTGTGGGTGCACTTACAGTTCCATGATGTATCACCAGTGCCCTGAGTGGGAGAGGATAGTGTCGCATAATTAAACACAGGCCAATGTGTGTAGGAACATTCATGTTGATAAATTGTCTTCTGAATTGGATTTTCAAAGTGTTGAATCCACACAGATACAGAACGATAATCAGAACTCTGCAACAACTAGGATTCAGATGTAAGGAGCAGGTTTTGATTCCGATCAGTAGGGTATTAAATAGTTTGAATGTTGGTGTGTTTCAGGTGGAGCAGTCCAAAGTGCTGATTAAGGAAGGAGGGGTCCAACTGACACTCACCATTGTCGATACACCCGGGTTTGGAGATGCAGTGGACAACAGCAACTGGTGAGGAGTGCTGGCATAATCGGAATGTTTTCCAGTTAATAGATCATATACTCTGTATTATTCCTTCCTTTTCTCTGCCTGACCTCTTTTCTCATCTTCCCAGTTGGCAGCCAGTCATAAACTACATCGACAGTAAGTGCGAGGACTTCCTGAATGCAGAGTCGAGGGTGAACCGCAGATCCATGCCAGACAACAGAGTCCACTGCTGCCTATACTTCATAGCGCCCTCTGGACACGGGTAGGTCTGCATGAGATAAAATGCTCTAAACATGACACTGATGCCGTCTGTGTTTATAAAGTTGAATTCCCCTTTCATGCTTTGAAATGTTGCGACCATACCATATAAGCTTGTAACATTGACTGTTTGATTGTGATTTTAAATGATAGCCAGGTTTCCATCAACGTATATTTTAATGCACATTTTGAAGTATCGCATTAGAAAAGTTAGGGGAAAAAAAACTTTTTTTTTTTTTTTTTTACAGGCAGCTTAAAAGGAAAATAAGTAAAAACAACATCATTATCACCTTGGGGTTGTTGCGGCTGTCGAGGTTAAGCTGGTTGGCCACTAATCTGTAAATGAGAGGCAAATTGTAAAGCGCTTAATAAGGTGAATGACAAAGGGAATGCTTTTTTTTAAAGTTGATGTGGTGAACAAGTTTACACATCCAGCAGACACAGGGCACAATTAGCATTCATTTGGAGTTTTTTTTCTGTCCACCTGATGAATGTAGGTCCAATATTTACTCTCCTTTTAGCTCTGTTTCAGTCTCCTGAGAATAACATTTAGTTCTGTAGCTGCTAAATGCTCCACTGTGCTAGATGCTAACCCTGTCAGTCTGCCATTCAGTGCTGGGCAGGTAGTGTACAGTGCGTTTGCTAGATCTTATTAGTTGAAAACAGCCACCTACTGATAAAGGCTGTAGTAAATTTAAAAAAGTAAAGAACCAAAATAAATTAAGTGAAAGACAAAGCCAAAACTCTGAGGTTACCAGCAGAGTTGGATGAGCAAGAGCTGCC